CATGCAGAAAACGATGCAACAGAGGGAGCATTGAGAAAAACATAAATAATGAACGGGAGGAAAGAGTTACTCTGCAAAGGAACATTTAATATAAATTGGAGTAGTACTTAAGAGCTAAGAAGGCTTCCTTGTTTGAAAGTAAAAATCAGATGATTCATCTTCAAGTTATCATGCTTCTAAGAGATTTGATAGGAGTCTTTTATTCCTGTTTGGATTTGTTAGGTGTTGCAGCCTTGTCCACAGATAAAATTTGGGCTCAGAGTATATAAACACTGGTAAAATATGCTGTATTCGTATAAATATATTCTAGAAAATCCTTCACCTCACAGAAAAAAATATTTTTTTTGTTTCCATTATCTATACTCTTGAGTTGATACAGCTGTTTCTCTTTCCGAGACTTTTTTTTATCCATGCAGTTTCAAATAAAGCTTTGGGGGAGAAGGGTTTTGCAGATTATTTTAGATCCTGCAGTTCTGCGATCACAGCAGAATATAAACTTTCCTTCAAGCAGAACAGTGCTCTCCAGTTTTTCTTGCTCTCACAGTTACAAAGATTCTGTGGGCAGAATAAGCTAAATGCAACAACTTAGCTTGATCTCCCAAAGTCGTTTTTGGGAGAAGACAGAATAAAACAATATTGCTGTTTAATATTTGATCTACCTCTTACTTCATTGTAGCACAACCTGAACACAATGTGGCTAATACATAAAATGGAAGTCTAACTTGGTAAAAGATAGGGCTGAAGGATTTACAGAGCAAATTCTTTAGAGAAAGCCAGTTCATTATGTTACAGTAATGGCGACTAATTTTAGGATCTCTGGTAGTTTGAGATACAATGTTGGGTTTTTTGTGTGGTTTTTTTAACCTGTGATTTCTGGCTACCTTTTAGTATTCCTGGCTTCTTGTCTGGAGATACATTCCCCACTGGATATTTCCACCAGGAGTGAATGACCTCCACCTTCCTTCCATGTGAAGACAGTGCTAGGATTAGGATGAGAGTAGGAAAAGAGGTCTCAGTGCACCTAAATGGCTAGATTTGTTCACGTTACTTCTTTTATCTGTATCTAGTCTTTCCCCTCTGCTAGTTTCCAGCTCAGGCAGTTGGTTGAATGTCTCTGTTATGGAAAATCAAATAAATGATCTGTTTATAATAATGTTCTGGGCTAAGATGGATTTGGCATTAGCTGGTTTTTGTGCAGTTGGACGAGGCAGACCAACCAATCTTTCATATTAGGCTTTTGGAAGTAAAAAACACCGAATTGAATCTCCTCTTCATTGAGTGGGCACAATGTGAGGAATTATGGTTGGTATTAATCCACTTTATAGACAAAATGACT